CGCTTGAATTTACTCTTCATCTTTTTCTAATTTTTAGAACTAAAAAAAGATGAAGAGTAAATTGAACCGATATTAAAGTTAATCTATATTTGTGGAAACGGGAATTAGAGTTATAATCTGGGAAATTGCGACTCGCGAAAGACAGCGCTGATTGACGGGAAAGTATCGATGGATCTCGATGAATCCTCGAAACTAGGCGAAGCTCTTGTTAACGAAGGAAAGCTGCGAGCGAGTCGATCGCTGTCATGCATGTCATTTGCGATCTGCCAATTACGCGTAACGCAGCTCGATGACAATCACAATCAACATTCGGATTCCACCCGCGTCTGCCTCCTCCGAGAGAAAAGTGGATCGCGTGGAAATGTTTTGCTTATTGTTTGCAAAATGTCAGAAATATTCCCGCGAGTGCAAAATGTCTCGCTGGCGACACATTTTAATTGTTTGCTTAATGAGTTTCGTATTCATTTTACCGTTACACCACGGTAGAGTTTTTCATTATCTTGAACGCATAAATTATAAGTTTGTGAAAATAAATGTATAGAATAATTATTATTTCAAAATAATAATTTAAATACTTTCATTTTTATGAACATCCGATTCACATAAAATAATTTTTATTTTTAATAATGAAGTACTATTCAACAATTAAGTATTTTTTATTTTATTTTATCGATTAAATAAAAAAATACTCACTTTGACAAATAACATTTTATTAAAAATAAAAATTATTTTAATTCAACTATTCTTTAAATTAAACGACTTTTATTTTACTAAAAATCGAATAGCATAACTTTTTACTTTACACTATCATTCAGCTATTTACGTCATTCGAAAGTTTATATTAAATGGTATTTATTTATTATTAGCGTTTTCACTTTTGCACGCTGCCTGACAATAACGCCCGCCGATGCGGGAGGATCGCGGTGTGTTTGAACCGTGCAAACCACACTTTACGTAATCGCACATGCCGGCATAGTTTTCAACGAAGAAAGTGTGTAATCGAGCGACGTGTCCACACGATGGCACGGCGTTACGTCGGATTATACACGCGCTTATAATAAGAGAAAAAAACAAGACTTCGATCAGCGCGCGATTCCACTAGTCAAAGTCCTTTCCCACAAACGATACACAGTATCTTGCTTGGGCGAAGAATGAACAGCTGGAGGTTCTTTCCAACAAGTGATGCACCACTAGTGATGATTTTCCTCTATTAAACGAAAAGAAAGTTTCGGTCGAATCCCCGGCGGGCATTAACGATCCGTCCGATAAAATATTCTTTTCCTTCCTTCGATGTTTTTTTCCCGTTGCGATTTTTTTTCTCGCTGTTACGCGACTCTAGTTGGTATTTATAGGTGAGATTCATAGACGGTTTTTATATTTAAGATAGTCTTAAGTACAGTCTTAAGGTGTCATAAGTCAATTATGAGAACTGTATTAGCATTTTAAGACATTACTTAAGCTTGTTTAAATAATAACGGATTATGAGTAGCAGCCTTATGTCTTCGGTTTGAATGTTTACGTGTTGTAAGCTTTATTCTACTTTTATTGCTCATTACAGGAGTATAAAATGAAACTTTCAACGTGTGAGCGTCCAAACCGAACGTAGCTACAATGTACATAGTGATAATTTCATTTTTGTTTAATATTGGCAATAAGGATGAATAATTAGATATCGCATGCTTATATTATGCAATTGCACTTTTTTCAGTTATTATCTTAAAGACATCCTTGGAAGCCTATCTTTCTTTGATTATAACGTGCAATGCATTTGCGATATTCAAAAGAAAAAACCTTGGTTCATTTAATGTTATTTTGAAGACTATTCAATTATTCGAGGACTTACTTTGAAGAGTATTAATTTATTTGAGGCTATCCAACGATAAAAAAATCTGAATATACGGCCATTACAGTTTGCGAAATTTGAAGAAGCTGTGAGAGCCGGAACAATAAACAATTTAGTCGTCAATTTTGTAAGCATGATCGTTTCATTTTTGGAAAAATGTAAATTGCATGCGTACAAATATAAAGTCTTTTTTTAAATAATTTTTACAATTCTCTTATATCTTTTAATAAACTAAACTGTTAAATACAATTCTCTTATATCTTTTAATAGACTAAACTGTTAAATACATGTGATTATTTATGTTCAATAACATTTTAAATTTTTTAATGTGAGACTGAAGATGATCTGTTGTTAAAAAGTTGAAAAGTCTTCTTATATATATGAGATATTAAATTGTTTATGTTAACAAAAATGTGCAGATTGGCTCTTTATTCTATTAGTTTTAAATTTGTATTCTTAAGAGCCTCATTATAATTGAATTAATTTTTAATTTAATTGCCAACATAAATATTTATATAATGATTATTAATTATACAATATAATTATATAATTGATATTTAATTCGATGTAATTAATAATAACGGTATTTTCATAATCAATTTTTTATATATTTAAGCTTAAGTAAGTACAGTCTAAGATGTCATAAGTCAATCACAGACCGTTAACATCTTAGATCTAAGACATTACTTAAGACTGAATATCGGTATAAGCAGCAAGAATACCGGAATGTTGTCGGTACTCTCTGAGATATTGAGTTTCGAAAACGGTCGGAACGGGTTTTCGTGAACGTCGGATAGATGTACGGAACCGATCTACTATAGTCTCGTTAAAGTATGAAATGTCACGAAGTGCTATCGCACAACCGCTTTCGTAACGAATGTTGTAATACCCACAGCTTCTCGTATATACAATGCCTTCAATAACGAGTTTCATCTCGTCTAATAAATCAACTCGGCTCATTGCAGTGTCCAAAGTATCCCTGATTAACAGAATATCACTCGCACCGTGTCTCACCATTTTGCGTCCAGCTGTTGAGGTCGTGGCAGAGTATAGTCCAGTCATCCTCCAGATCCTGGAAAGACGTTGACAATTTCGCTGGAAATATCCTTCGTCCTTGCGCCATGTCGCCAATCGCGATTAGAAATTCGCGATCGCCGCGCGCGTTCCACCTGTCGTGGAGAATCCTTGATAGCGAACCTCAAGATCCTTTCGCGAGTCGACACCCAAGAAAATCGGCCGACGATTTCACGCGTGGGGATCCACGGAAATCGCACGAAACAATAACGGCGGTAACGGCCGTTTATTCGGAGATTCGCGAAATCCTGAGTACGATCGTGCGAAATGTCACAGACGATTCGCGGCACACCAACACGACGCGAACGAAAGGACCGAGCCGAGATTGAGGCATGGGCGTTAAAACGACACCCGGCTGCACGCATGTGTTCCACGCGCTTGCACGCACACACCTGAACGCACGGAACGCTGCTCCGCTCCGCACGGTCGCCGAGTTTTGCGTTGTTTATTTTTAAAAGCGCACTCGACCGTCCACTTGTCAACACGTACGCGCGTATATTGTACATACGTACATACACAACACCCGACACGACACAAGACGTTTGACTGATACGCGCATATATAGTGAGTCCAAAGTTTCCCATCCAAGGATATAAAATAATGATAAATGAACATAAATTCATCATCGAACGCGCAAAATTTCTTTCCACATACATTTGAAAATAAAAAATAGTAATTTGAGACTGATCGCGAGTTGAGATTGTAGAATGTTTTTAGTGAAATGTAAATTTTTTTAGTGAAATATAAGGAAATTAATTCACCATTCTAAAAAAAAAGGATAAATAATGATAGTTCATTTTTATCATCTTTTTTATATCCTTCAATCGAAAACTTTTGGAACCTATGTAATTCGATTATAAATATTTTAGCTTTTATCACACAATATCTGATAAGGTAGATCGCGTGATTTTTTATCGATCTAGAAATAAGTTATGATGGATCTAAAAAGTAACGAGTGATAACACTCGATTGATAAACATTCATTGTTGCTTCGCTATCTTTTCTTTATATATTTCTTACGTTGTTATTAAGATTGTATTTTTAAATCTGCTTTCCCTCATTTATATGTAAACGTGAAAAAAATGATAAACGAAATTTCCATGCATTGGTAAACAACTTGTGGTAAATCGTGGAATAAAATTGAAGATATTTCATTGTATTCAGTAATAGACACAAGAGCTATATAAAAAGATGAATCTCTACAAAATTCTCATTTAAATAATCATTGAATTTATACACAAAGATATGATTTGTCTTCAGAACATTTCTTTAGAAAACAGGATTGAAAGTCAAGATGCTTTCGAGAAATATTTAATGTGATATTCGTGAATTATTCATGATTTTTTTTAAACGGTTTATCAACCATTTATCAAAATAATCAAGATAGAATTATATATTCTTCTAAATTCTAAATACAAGGATTTTCGAGCTTGTGAACGTGGTGTCTAAAACGAATCAACTTCTGGACACAAGTATATACGAAGATTGTTTATTTATTCCTACAAGTGTTCAAACACGAAGCGAGACAAATACTCTTTTAAAAAAAGTAAGAACATTATTATTTGACATAAGCACTTTTCATAAATAAGTTCGTCTAGATCAGCACGTTAGATTACTTATCGCTGTCTTAAAAACTATTTTTGTACATTACGCGTTTGTACACAGAGTAATGCGTTGCAGGTTTCGTATAGAAATATGTTTCTTATAAAAATGAGCGTGAAATGCAATAAAAAACAGTCTTCCACATTAAATATCTATACATATCGGCGACATAAATAACGACGATGAACATTTCTGAAAACTTGCGATAATACGAAAGTTCGCGAAAGTAAGCGAAACGAGTATATTTTTCGGCACTTTATGTATATATATACATATGTATATATATATATATACATTTATATATATAAACACTATATATATGTATATACAATATATGTGTGCGTCTATATATGTATACTTACTTATATAATATACTCCACTTTTCAATGTTTTGATGATACTGGCGCACTTACATTTAATTAAAAATTACTTATAAGTAATGGAATATGAATACTTTTTCACTCGTTATATGTATATGAGTAAATGATGTTTTTAACATAGAAGAGTTTTTTTAATTTTGTCACACGAACATCGAAAAATGTTTATAGAGATAGACGGACTTCTTCTATGGCAAAAATTAAGTTGTCCAATCCGTACAATAAACCCTCTTCGTGGTTGCCTTCTTCCCAAGGACGTCTGTGCGTGAGCTTTCGTCCGTTCGGTACCTCCCGTGTTTTTGCGAAATCAATTAGCCAAACACCCACCTTTTCGCTGTCGTAGATCATGAAGATACTACTGCCGATTACCTAAAAAATAAAATAATACATTTAAATAAATAAATGTACAAAATAAATGTTACAACAATTGGAAGAGGTTTAAAAATTGATATATCGTATCGTACCTCGTGAGTTTCAAAATACTTTGACTGCTCAATTTTGATTCGCAGATTCTCGAGGCGCGTCAGGAGCTTTTGACGAGTGTCTTCGCGGTTACCGAGGAATTGTTTTATGATGTCAAGCACCTCCAAATGTGACTTGATCTTTTTGAGATCGGTGATCGGCGGCGCACCCGGTAGTTTCATCGCTTCAATACGGAAACCGTGGCTACAGGTTGAGCTCTGCTCCTCGCGAAACTGCATATACCGTAATTTGGTCACGGCATGTTGCTCGTGTTCTAGCTGAGTCGGTGCGTTCGGATCGACAGCGATCATCTTCTCATACAGGTCCGATCTAGCGGTGGTCTTGGACACCTCGGATTCGAGGAAGGTCCGCGTGCCCATCTTGATGTCCATCACATGCGGATCGTTAAATCCGAAGAGCAAATCCTGCAGCTCGATAAACGTGTCGCCCTTGTATTCAACTTCCCGGTAATATCTACAAAAAAACAACCATAGTTGAGTCTCGCGGTGTCCATTTTATTATTTCTTAGGTGAAAATTGAAAAGATTTTCAAGTAAACCTTGGAATGCAATCCCGCAACGCTTCCTCCTTGCTCAAGGTCTCGTAAACGATGCGTTCCGTGTTTTCAACGCCGCCCGCTCGTCTTTTCCAAACAGTGCCAGGCCCGGCAGGTGCAAAGCCATCCGGATGGCCTGATAATTGGAACCAGGACTTGAGTCGGTTTTTCAAGAGCACGTCGCTGGCCGGTGCCGTCAGATCTAGAGCATTCTGGAACATAGATGACGCAATCGATTGAATCATTTTTTGAAAAACATGTGCGATTAAAAGATCGGTTATGTACTTTCTAAACATCTTTTAGAGTGAATAGTTTTTCTGAAGAGTGAAATCTCGTAAATATTTATAGTCGATTCTTATTTCAAGACCGTCTTAAATAATGTCTTAAGACGCTAATGCGGCTCTCTGATTGGTTCGTGACACTTCAAGACAGAACTTAAGACGGTCTTGAATATAAGAACTGATTATGAACCGGCCTTAAAGACTGAAAATTGAGCCACTCTTTTTTAAGACTAGTTCAATTTTCAGTAAGATTCCATTCCAAAAACTTTAAAGAGTATAAATATAAATACACGTACCAGAGCGAGGAATTTCAAAGAGAGATCCTCGTCCGGCATCGTCGTGTCGGACAGGACCATAGGGAATTGCTCCAATTTTCGCATAGTAGCAGGATCGTTTGGTAATTTGGTGAGTGAGTTAGATGATCTGGAGCCAGCACTGCTGGATCGGTTGCTATGAGAACCCAACGAGGTGCTCCGTCGCCATTGCCGGAAGGCGCTGTAAGTGCTGTTGCTGCTGCTGCTGCCATTTCCGCTGCTTCCGCCACTACTGGATCCATCCTTCTGTCGACGGTGATCCTTGTTGCCCATCGAATCATGACTGCTCAATCGCGTTTGCTCCTTGCTCGAGGGCTGCAACGAGAGAGATCTACTAAGAATTTAATCCAACCGGGACAGTGCGTTACGCTATGGGCTGCGACGCCTCGAAATTTTAGTCGTCCAGAACTGAAGAAATCGATACGACGAGATCGCATTCCGATCGGATCGATTTCGCCATTGAAGCGGAAATCAAGAACTCTTCGATAAGATGATCCGAGTTATCTCGTTGGGATAGGAGCACGGATTTTTGCATAACACACGAGGCATAAGAGTATCAACCAATCACAGAAAAAAAATGTTTCTGATCACACAGTTGATTCTGATTAGCTGAAATTGCATTAGCTATGAAATTTGCTAATACAGAGGATGTGCTGCTGCAGCTAATATAAGGACGTGATAGCAAAATATGCGAGTCTGTCACAGTCAATTTATTTAGCAACATAAAGTTTGTTGTCATAGTTATCAGATATGTCCGTGTAAAAGAAAATTGTCTCTACCACAGCCTTGACCACAGCTAAATATGGTTTGCTGAAACTGTACTCGCTATCAAATTGTCTGCTACACAAAAAAATTGTTTGCACGATCAATACATCGATATAATAGCAAGACCAAAGACCTCACAGATACATAGTGTCGCAGACACATACATATACATTTAAGAACACAGACAATACATAGATATCGCAGGTACGACGTTAGGTGTCCATATAATCCTACTGAATTTAGCTGCCACACCTAATTTTTAATTGTGGCATCTAATCTTCTTTTACATGATTGGAGTTTTTTATTTCATGGAAAGGAAGGAAACGCAGAAACTTTAATTGGTTCATTTTTTCATACGTTATGCAAGACGTCCGTGCTTCCGCCCCTTATTTTGAAGTCGCCGGCCGCGCGCGCGCGAAGGATGTTTATTATTATTCGCCTTAAGTCGCGTTACCCCGTGCTTTTCAACGTGAATATTCGATATCGTGATACACCATTCATTTTAATTTCCGACGCAAGGTTCGCGCGCACATAACTCGACCGTGATTTTGGCCTCGATTATCGGCCCGCGTTATTGACTTGCGAGTCATGTCTATGACTGCGAATGACGACGAATCGATTACTTATTAATAACGTTTGATAAATAGCGAAAACGTATCGTTGGGGCATAAACAGATTCATAAATGGCGATTTATTTCATTACAGCGTTGATGAAAAAATAAAAAGAGGACGGATAGAAAAAAACCATCGTACGTGCCTCACAGGAAGAAGACGCAGGGGGGAAAGGAAAGAGGAAAAAAACCAGAACTCGAAGCGCAATCGTTCCATAAATACGAATCGCGTCTCTCACGCTACCTATTGACGTCAATGACTTTTATTCGAGCCGCATCGTGCCACTTGTCGCCGCAGGGCCAATTCCAGCGTATTCGCGGTGTGCGATATCGCCCCCCCCCCCTCCGGGCGGGAGGAGAAAGAAACGATCGAAATGTCGAGGCTCTTTAAGCCGGTATTTATAGCCGGTTTTTATTTTAAAACTGTCTTAAATAATGTCTTAAAATGTTACTCGTAATACGGCTCTCTGATTGATTCGTGATAAAAACTTCGTCTAAAAACTTAAGACGGTCTTAAATACAATATAAGATCCGACACTATGAATACTCTTAATCTTTAATACACGAGGTGATGCGGATGTGTACTGACTGTTTTTTGAACCCGCTTTAAATTTAGACCACCCTGTGGATTTGACTTTTTTTCCACGGGGCTCGATGACATATTAATTTTTATAATACAGTTCATTAATGCGCGACACGATGTTCACGGTCTTAGAGTAACTTCGACAAACCTCTCCGATTGACTTAATCGGTGATTAACTTATCGAGTAACACCTGTACTGTTTTGTTAACATGGACAGTCATGTAACGCATTGAGAGAAATTATAATATAGTTATAATTATAATTACATATTGCTATAATTACGATTATGACTATTATAATGTTAATAATAATAATAACTATTTGCATAGTTCTATCAATGAATGTAGTTGGCAACCGAAAATGACTATAATTATAGTTATTATAATCATAAAAATGATTGAAATTACTATAAAAAAATGATTTATTTACACAACTATGATTATATAGTCATTTAAATCATGTTTTATGATCATTTTAATCATTTTTATGATTATAATAATTATGGTCAATTTGAATTGTTAAATCTCGACAAATTTACACTGAGAGAGAAAAGTATTTGATATTTATGATTACAATTGCGAGATAAAATAATGAGAAATTCTATTTTATAATTATTACTACTACAATTTTAATAATAAAATCATAAAAATGGTTCCTAATTATTTTATCATGAAATTATAGTAACAAATAGTTCTCTCAAACATGAAAAAATTGTACTATAAATTATGTTGATTATGATAATTTGAAAGTTTAATATAATAAAAAAATATATACGTGGTAAATAAAATAAATATTTATATATTTGTAGAATACACAACTGTTTTCTTAAAATTCACTTACTATTTATATGGTAATAATAATTTTAAAAAATGTTAACAAAAAAATTAATAATTTTCAAGTAACGCGTGTGAAACTATTGTTAAGCATCATTGACTATGTTTGCATAAAATAATTATAAATACATAGTTGTCTCAAAAAATGACTATAAATTATGATAATTGATATTTTTTTCTGTCAAAGCATCGGCTTGCAGATTCTACAAGTCATACTACATCAATCAGAAAATAACAGTAATATTCACTTTCAAAATATATGTATGCTGCCCAGATTGAAGTGTTTTCGCAACACCAATTTCTCTCGTTAATGATAAAAATATTAAAAAATACGCACCAATGATCTTGTTAAACTCGAATCAACCTAGTCTTTCCATCCCGATTTCTTATTTTCTAATTCTCTTGTCGATTTCTCTTTATATCTCGTATAAGTCCCAGTTGTTACCAACTAAAAGTAACATAACAATCAATGTTACATTTCGCACTCAACGATTAAGGTAACTGTTGCGTAATCATCATGTGTTATCTAATTAAAAAAGAGAAATCTTATCAGTCAAAGCGCATCTTAGTGTTCAAATATTTCTATGTGAATTTATACACACATTCTGCAAAGCACGTGCTGAAATCCTTTTCGGTTTTGAAACGCAATCACAAGCAAAATCAAAGTAGTTTATATCACTTTCTAAATTGATAAGCAATTTAATAATTTTTGATACTAATAAGCGTCTTTATAAGAATATTAATAAGCAGATATTAATAAGAATCTTAAATCTTAATAATTTAATTAATAATTTATTACAAAAAATATTGCTTCAACAGAAGATTCTGACCTATGTTATATTATATTTACAGCTACTTTTTGTTGTTGACTAGAGCGCAATGTTATAATTTAAAATATTTAAATTTAACAAAGGAATGTTTTTATCGCTAACATCATCGACCTTTTTGCTATGGTAACAGAACCAAACAAAAAGTATAGCACTATATACAAAATAAACTATTATAACTGTTAATACTATTTTAACTGTTTGTATGATTTCTTCCTATATTTACAACTAAAATGTATAATCTTATCACATTTTGCACATCGTAGATTACCGTAAAGTAAAACATCGCAAACAAACTTAAGATTGTTTAGTGACTCGACGATAAAGACTCGGCGTCTACAATGAGCTTTTAAGATGTAAAATTTAAACTTTTAGTTTTAAACAGTAAGAAATCGACGAATCACAGTCGATTAGTCTTTTCACATTCGATCAATTTCTTTCGGCTTAAAGCTTAAGTTTTATACTTAAAAATCTCATTATAGACGCTACTAATTAAATTGCGTTGCAAAGCTGCAATATTTCCATGCCACGAAAATGCCCGATGGGTTTCCTTTAATGGAAAAATTAATCCGCAGAGTCGTAAAGTAGCGGATAAGAAAAAAATTGGCCGAGAAATATGTCTCTGGAAAAACACGGCGAGCGCGGCTGCGTTTTAGAAAGAAAAACAAGCGTAAATGAATGTTAATTGTGCGTAACGACGTCGCGTGCTAAGTAGTCTCCGTTAAGTTCGACCGTATACGCATTCGGCTTAATTCATATCCCGTTCATCCTGCCTCGAATCGTCGCTAATGGCTTTTATGACTGAATGTAGAGTCGAGTTAAATGGTGCCGCGAGCAACGCGACGCTTTAATGAAATACACCGCTCGGCGTCCGCCGTCCGCGAAGATCCGCCCGTTGGAATTCACCCGCGTATTACCTGCGCTGTTACGAGCGCCCGCGAATCCCGTTATTAAATTACCACGGCGGATATTATTGCCAACGACGAAATACACGACTTAACTCCGTGGCTGTTCCGCGCGCGACTCGGTAACAAGTGTATCCGCGCTTAAAACTGTGTCACCGCGCGCCTCGAGCGATCTGTTTCGCAGCCGCATATCGCTCCGCGAAATCGTAAAGCCCGCGTCACACTATGCATTTGAGATTAAGGATTGCAAATTGGAAATTGTAGAATTCGGCCGGATAATTTTTATTTCAATCCGGTTCTCGCCGATTGAATTCTTATTCCCAATTTGCAACCCTCAATTTTTCCAATGCATACCTAGACAGGTACACGTATAAAACATGGGAGTACAAAGTCCAATCTACAATTATGTAAGTATAGTTATAAGTGTAAAAATTAACCAATTATAATCGAATATAAGAATATTCGACTGTGGTTGATCAATTCTTACCACTTATAACGTCTACGCTTAAACGTCTACAATGAGATTTTTAAGTATAAAATTTAGACTTTAAGCCCTAAACCCTAAGAAATTATGGTCGAATTTGAGGAAAATAATCAATCAAAGAATCTTATTAGACTGTGATATGTGAGAACACAATCAATAAGAAATTAAAGGCCTATAACGGTCAAAGCTGGATTTTTGATGGTTAAATAATTTAATGTGGATTATATGTATACCATATTTATAGTCATTTTGAACTGCGTCGAAATTTTATCGAACTTAAAAACGTAACTAAATTACTAAAATAATTTCATAATAAAATTTTAATATTCAATAGGCAAAGATGAGCTGAAAATCTGTAAATAATAAATTTATTTATTGCGAAAAATATTATCTCGGCCGGAAGTTGAACTCAGATATAAAAATAATCGGCTATTGGTCAATTTCTTATTATACAATCCATGGCTTACTACACAATGTTCATTGTAGACTTTTAAAATGTTTTGATATATCTAAAAGATGCTTTTTGGTGACGTCTTTTAAACGGCGTCTACAATAAAAATATAAAGTGTAAATTTCAAGCTTTAAGCTTAAGTTTAGATCCACAATTTTCCTCGTTTTAAAAGGCTGTAAGCCATAAGAAATGAATAATCACAATCGAATATAAGAAAAATCAACTGTAATTGGTCAATTTCTTACGGCTTACGGCTTCTTGAGCAGATATTCATACGTAGTCTGTTTTTATTTTAAGACTGTCTTAAGTAATATTTTAAAATGATCCTCTTGACTGGTATTTATAGTCGATACACTCTTATGTTTAAGATTGTCTTAAATACAATCTTAAGATGAACCATTCAGAGAGCGCATTGGTATCTTAAGACATTACCTAAGACAGTCTTAAAATAAGAACAGACTATAAATACCGTTTCTGATCCGATTAGTTCAGGATAGCTTGAGACAGTTTTAAATATAAGAACTGACTATGAATATTAGCCTTAAAGTAAAAAGTTTTGTGGACCTAAATTTAAACGTAAGAAATTATCCAATCATACAGGTTATAATATGACTCGAGCTTAGGCATCGCCGAGCGATTTCTCGTTCAAACTAGGTTGCACGCTTAATCCTTTCAACCTGCCAGTCTGAGGTTGTGGCACGATGAGTTCCGATAGACATCCCCATCGGAGAAATCGTTCGGTTCTCTCTCGATCTCCGTTCTCCGTGTCAAATCAGTCCGTCGATCGAAGAACTTTTAGCTCAAAGCTCGCATGTCAGGAAATATCCGTAAACTATGAATATTCCTCCCTCCAGTTCTCTTCTTGTTTTCTTCTTGTTGAATAGTGCTACCGCGGCACGTGGACGTGTATTAATGCCGCCACATATCATCAGCGATGACTAGGTATGCTGGTTAGCAATGCGCGCGTGCGTCATTAATAGGAAAACCTACCATTATTTTTCACGCATATTCTCGTATCAAGGCTTCATCGTGATTAATCGTCGATATCCGCCTTTCGCGAGATATCGCGTGAGACGAGGCGAGATCTATCTGGGAAATGGGGATTAGCAGAGGAAGATCCGAGAAAGTGAGGTGAAGCGAAGAAAGTTGGAAAGCTTCAAAAGAACGAAGGTGCAATGTACGTCATTGCTCGCACGACCTCCCGTTGTACCTCCAGCTGTGCCGAATGTTTCTTTCTCTTTTTAGTCTTGAAAAAAAAAAAAATAATTTTAAGCAATGTTTATCAAGAATTCAATTGGATTCGGAAAGAAATATTTTATTATTCGTCACGTTGGATGAATAAAAACATTAATAAAATCATAAAAGTGCGTAGTTCTATGACGGTAATAAAGATGATCTTTTAATAGTTATCTTTTAATTTATTATATGTCATTATGTTCCTATTCTCATTCTCACCGGTTTATTATTTATTATATATTTTATTATTATATATTTTATACTTATTTGATTTATTATGTATGTCAGTAGAGAAAAACATTCCTCACGTTTTAATAAATCTCTTTATGGAAAGGAATTTCATCAATCTAAATGAAGAACAGGAAGAACAAAGATTGATAAATTTTGGAAAATTAGTAATCTTCAAAATATTTTGAGAGACACGAAAAACAAAAAAATGAATCTTCAAGGACCCAATAATATCGGATTACAGACAATTTCTTTCAACTCGTTTAACAATCCCTTTTTCACAATGGCATTTCCTTTCCTGGTATTTCCTTTCCATTCTTTTCTTTCATCTTATTTTACTGTATTTTCTACGCACTACTGTGTTCCAGGAAAAATGCGTGTTCGTGGAATAGAATATAAATTACGAGCACATAGGTGTTGTTGTTCGTTATCGACGAATTAATAACGGATTCTCGATTACTTGTATTACAATAAGTCTGGATCCGTATTTTCCAAAAATGTTACATACGAAAATATCTGCAAATATACATTATATACATTGGAAAAAATAATATTATTTTAACAGCGTTATTTTAACTGAAAATAATTTTATTGATTTAACAATAATATTAACGAAATACAAATAAAATTTTATTAAAACAAGAGTATAACTTATTTGTTTCATTAATAGTGTTATTAAATTAACAAAATTATTCTCAACTAAAATAATGCTGTCAATCCATCATTTTTTTCAGTGTATAGATCTTTCTAGTATTTTTATATATAATATTTTTCGAGAATAAAGTCTCTGTTCTTTTTACTTGAATTTCTTGCAGAATTTAGCTTTCCTTCTTTTCTTTCCATGTTAGAAAAAAAAAGAGAAAAGGTGAACCATGCAAGAGTTTAACTAAAAAGAACAGACCTCATAAGCTCTGATTTCACCTTTGTAAAATAAACTTTAATCTCGATTTAACTTACTGCTCATCTTTTTCTGATTTTCACAATTTCTTAGAATTAGATAAAAAGTAAATCGATCCGAGATTAGTTAATCTCACATTAGTGGAATGATTGTGTATCTTGAAACGAGATAAAAATTACAAAAAGGAGCAAATTCACTAGATATTGATTATAATGAGATTATAAACAATGAAGATTAAGAATTAAAAACAGGACTGCTTACTTGAAGAAATCAACTAAATACGAAGAAAATTTATTACAAATAATGATTTTACACTTTCGTTATTTTCACCTCATCTTCCAAGAAACACAATCGACCTCCAAAGTCTCACTGACCTTCTTGATTATGATAACAAATGGCGCGCGCTATCGCGACGTACAATCTTCGTTCGGGACACCCTGTATGATACACGGTCGCCCGTCGAGCGAGATGAAATCGTGTACGTAGACCCGGTGATAAGTGAGGTGCGTGTACAACAGGTCAATGATCTTCCATTGCAAACCGACTAAGTAATTATTCGATCGATTGCTCGACGGCGTGGCGTGTCCCGGCGGTCCTTCGCGTCACCAGTCAATCACGAAATTTAATACACCCGGGCGTGTTTTGTAAACGACCGAGCTCCGGTTATCGTCGATTACGTCAATCTAGAGCATGTAGCACAGCTGCGTGCGTGCATGCCGTTCACGCATATTAATCTCATACTCTGAATTCCGCTGTCTCGTCAGTAATTCATTTTCCTTGATCCTCCCGTCAAACGGGGAAACTCCTCGCGGGAGGCAAAGAGAGAGAAAGAGAGAAAGGGACGCAGGGAATATGACTCCTTCTCCCTTTCTCCCTCAACTTCGACCCCCGGACGCGTACCTTGTTGAAGTGAGTCTGCAGAAGCCGCTCATACTGATCAACCGCACGCAGGCAGAGCCTCGTGGTGAACGCTTCCATTCGTGCTGGCAGGGGCGGGTGACACACACTGCTCGACATTATTTATCCGTTTTGGAACGCGGGTACACACGCGTGCACGAATACCGTTTGACAGACACGACGTGAACACGAGAAATCGAGCACACTGTTCCTTCTCTCGTAAGCGAGCGAGCGAGTGAGCGAACGCGCCCGCTCGAGATCGTTCACCGGGGAGTGTTCACCAGGCGCGGACGAACGTCGGCGTTCCTAACCTCCATCGAGCGACTATCGAAAGCGAGGACGGTCGCCGGCCGACGAAGCGAATCGACGAATGACGTGCGCGGGGTTCCGAAACCACCCTACGATCCCCTACGGGAACCCGGTAGGCGCGAGTCGCGCCGAGCGGATTGCGGCGGATTGGCCGAGCCAACCAAACTCGGCTACAACGGTCCTTCGCTCTCTTCTCCTCGCTCCAAACACATATTTCTCTTGCTCCGTCCCGCTCGCCTCTTCTCGCTTCCGTTTAACGCTGTCACGTTCCTTCCAAGCTCGCTCGGCTCGTCTATCTATCCTTCTACCCGTATGCGCGTCGCGCGCACGTTACACTTCCCGTATCGTATTCTTTCCCCTCCCTGCTTTTCGCTTCATCCTTCTCTCCCACTTTCTCGCGCTCTAATCTCGTTCTCTTTCTTCGGCCGTTACCGCCACTACCGCCGCATGCGCGCGTACGTGTGCAGTCGATGTCACCGCTACTGCGTGTAACACGAATTGCTACGCTATGTCGCACCGCGCGGCGAGACGGACGGGATTCCACTCTACTCCGTTCCGCTCCGCTCCGCTTCGCTTCGCTTTGCCTCGTTGCGCTTCACGACGTCACTGCGCGATGCGTTCATATACACTGTGAGCAACACTGAAGCTACGAGAGAGCGCGAACGTAGTTTTATCGGTACGGTTGTCCCTCTCCCTGAGACTGCCGATTGTCCCGGTACGCAACGTACGAAACGTAAGGCTGTATCGGTGATGTGCGACTAGGAGGAGGCTGCGAAATAAATAAATAAAGCCGGATTCCTCTTTTTTTCGTAACGCCCAACTGTGAGCGTCATTCATCTTCGCGCTTTGAGAAAGTGCGCACGTTTTTTATTTGAACTACTCGACGCATACTTACTTTTGTATCTAGCCGAGAATATCGACTTCCGTATCCTCTTCTTGTTATCAGGAAGAGAGAAATTGAGAGACACCTCTTTATTTTTTTTTTCTTCTTTTTGGGTTTGTATACAATGATCGAGAATAATTAATATTCTTATTTCTATCAATTCTAGCACAATTTATTGGCACGATATTGGTCCAACATTAAAATGTATCCAAATTCATTGATGAATCATAAAAAATTTTTATTATTAAAGATCGTTTTGCGTTATTATCTTTTTGACTTATTTTTAATTTGACTTCGCAATTAACCGATTCTTAATGTTCTGACTTTGCGACATAATTTGTAAACAATTATCCGAAATTTATATTTGTTGAAAATACGTTGAAAAGGGCTACGAACTATAAGAATAAGATTGAAAATAAATAATAAATAAAATATAATTATACGGTAAACAAAATACACGAATTGTACAAACGACTTTTCGACTCCGATCGGGTCATTATTAGTGTTAAACATGTAATAAACTATTAATATTAACATATTTAAATTATATTTATATTTGTTGTTAAATACTGAAGAAGGCCTGGTCGAGGCCGAAACATTTATAATTTATTATTGTTTGAATTACATCAACAGAATGAAATATTATCTTGCTAACAAGAACTTGCGTTATGGTTGTTTTATTAATTTAAAATGTGTCTTCGATAAATTGTTATTAGGAAACATAAATTAAGTTTAATCTCTTAAGTTCTATCTTAAGTTTTTAATTTACTTTTTATCCTTTTCCTTAGTTCTAAGAATATAAAAAAAGGATTCTCGTCTTCGATTTCCTCTTTTCATAGAGATAAGAAAAAGATCGAGCGGACTGTTTATTGTTCCTCTTAGATTAATTTTAATACTATTTTTTATCTTTTTCCCTAGTTCTAAGAATAAAAGAAAAAAAAATAAAAAACAAAAAGATCCTCGACTTCAGCCGCTTTCCCACGACCTCGCCCTGTTCGCTCTCGCGTTTTTGTATACATCGTATTTACAACGGGTGACTCACAAATGTCGAGAACGGGACTTTGCACTGACGATTTCAACATTTTTCTTGACGTAAGCTCGTTTTCATCTTTCCGACGAAGATCGGCTTCGTCGGAAGCGGAGCTCTTGAGAATCCGTGAACCGGAGGAATCGCGCACGGCTGATTCACTTCCGGATGCGGTCCGTGACGCGAATCAGGATCATAGATCCTATCGAGGGGAGCCTGTTTCGTTCTCCGGATCCGTCGCGGTGCGCGAAGGCGCGCCACGGTGAAACGTAAAACGGAATGATTTCGGGGTCGCCGTTCCACATTTTTTCAAGAGGATGTTCCTGTTCGAGCGGCCTTCGAATCCGTTTGTCGGACCTATCGAATACTAGCGAATACTATTCTACAGCGACTACTATCGTACGAATGCGTGCCTACAAAAGCCCATCGGTCCATCGAGATCCTTCAGCAATCCTTACCCAAACAGAACAAGTCATTATGATATCAAAATGATCCCAGTTAGAAATGATAATGGTATCGATATGGATATGATGTCAAAATGACTCCAAAATGATCATTAAAAGTCATTTTTCAATCATTTTCGATTCATTTTAATATCATTTTGACGTTATCGTGACTTGTTCTATTTGGATATTAAATCGCGATCAGACTAGAGATTAAGATTGAAATTAGATTAGAAATTAACCAATCAAATCACTAAATTTGAAATTGATTTTTTTCTTCTGCTTGGTTAAATTCAAATCCAATCTCAATCTCTAATCTGATGACAATCTGAGCAGAAAAAGCAGCTTTGCACACAACTAATTGCAGGTTTATAAACCACACACAATTATACTAAAGAATTTTATAATACCTGTAAAACTGCAGCTATTAACTTTCCGGAGTTGATGATAGATCTATGTAACTCATTCCATTACATTCTTTATGTGACATCTGTAAATTTAAATTATTATTATTAAATTAAACTCAATATTTACACACATAAACACATTTTTAAAATATGAATTATGATACTTTGGTCGCTTGAAGTTAATGTCTTTTAGTCAACATAAACTAATGAGCCTCACAGACTCAACGTGAGTAATTGTATTACAGACTTCAACTCCGGAGAATTAAAAACTGACTTCGACTAAACCTCCATTGACTTAATCGACAATTTATTCAACAAAATTGCTATCAAAACTTCCAACTACGCACTGGGAAAAAAAGTTTCGCTGTATTAATTGGAATTCTTATAGATTCAGTCAGATACAAACCAGATATTTACAGCTAAATCTATTAGATATTCTAGTCGAGATAATCAGAAATTCAATTACGTCTTACGATAATCAGAATTCTGATTCATATGATCAGAGCTCGTTTTATTTGTACTTTTCGTTTGTGACAACCAGAACGTTTTTGTCAATATAACTTCTAACTCCCTGATCTAATCTCTGTTTTCATGTGGTAAACAATCTCTGTGGTAAACATTAAAAATTGAGTATTTTATTCACATATTGTTAAAATAGTGCAGGTATTACTCGATAAGTTAATCGGAGTTTAGTCAAAGTCACCCCGGATGGTCGATCGATTAGCCGCTATCTCTTCGAGTCGATTCCCGGTCATCGGTGCCGCTTGCTGACGTAAATCGCATTATCAGGGAGAAAGTCGACGCCCGCTGTACGACTGTCTTGACTGATCTCTACGGCCGCTTTTACGCGAGTTTTTGGAGAACTTGAAACTGTCTTGATCTCATGCGGAGTTTCTCCGGCGACGACGTCAATCGATTGAAAAAAAAAAGAGACCAGGTTAATTCTTATTCCTGGTGTCACAGAAACGTGACGATCAGGTCGCTTTTATTCAGGTGGCAAGGCAGGGTGATCGACCGTAAAAATATGAGTACGGGAACATGCACACGATGTGTCTTCAATTGGTATCCACTAAGATATCCTGTGCGTTCTCACGTTCCTCGAAAGAAATACTATTGAGACGTGACGCGGCCATCAAAAATCTCAAATTCGTTGGGGTCAGAAGTATCCATTCGGTGTTTCTCTCGGTGAGCATCAAGCCATGTTTACGATTAGCTTAAAACATTTGAACTAAGTCTTTACTGCAGCAACAATGAGAAATTTTTTATTACTCGCTGCATATTTTCAAATTACGAACATCTTCTCTTGATTGGAAACACGCGACAAACTATAAGTTTTGTCGCTAGCAACAAAAACGTATTAAAGCCATTACGATAAGAGATTAACTTTAATCTCGGTTTAAATTATTTACTTTCAATAAATAAATATTTAATTAATAAAAAAAAAGTGATTGTTAAATCAAATTAACATTTTTTTTTGTACCAAATAAATATATTTTTATATTTAATAAATATTTAGTTGGTACTATTCAAATAAATATTTATTCAATTTAGGATACTTTTTTCTTAGTGTGATAATTGAAAATATTTATACTTAAAGGACTTCTACTCTTCTGTTGTGACATGTTGACGCGTATTTCTCATTGTTCTTTCATATTTACCGATTAGAAACATATGATAAGCAGTAACTCTTGTTGCTAACAACAAAAACATTAAGGCTGGTATTCATAGTTGGTTTTTAAAATATTTCAAGACCGTCTTAATTAAATAATGTCTTAAGATTCTGATGCAGCCCTCTGATTGGTTCATAACATTTCAAGAATGAACTTAAGATTGTTTTAAATATAAGAATTGATTATATTATGAATACTAACCTAAGAAACTTTCAGCAACAAACAATTTCGGGACATGGAAGATCAATAAAAAGTTTCTTGCCAAGGACATAAGTTCAAATTTTGTTGTTATCAGCTGTGATAGCTTCGTACGTCCCGTTTCTTTTTCTTTTTCACATGTATTTTTTATTCTTATTAATCAGATACGTTCTCTGTTATTTGTATCTTCGTATTATTTTACCTGTCACATTTCCTTATACTTGTTTAACGCATCACTTGGTATAATTTATATTTTTAGAGGACTTGTTCTAAATTGAATATAAATAAACGTTTTGTTTATTTACATATCTAACTACGAGTATGTATTTATCAGTATTTATACACAAGGCCACTGCACTAGCGTTACCCGACTCGAAATTCGTTTATTATAATATATAGGACTATAAACTATGCTCAACGATGACAACGGTCGTTCAAAATGTGCGTAGCGTAACGTCGTCATTAAAAATATATTTATTGTAGAGACTTGATTACGTTAACATTAGTAAAACAAGGCGTCATTATTAATTGTTTCTATTTCTGAAATACTATTTCTTGTATATGAAAGATACACGCAAAACAATATTTTGCTCCTTCAACTAGAATTATAACTGCTTTTTGTATCTGAGAAAATTATATATCATGCGCACAGAATTTATACCACACATCATATTTAATATCCAATATTGCAGTACTTGCTTTTTATTTATTTTAGCTATTTTTCGTACTTAGATAATTTTCGCTTTAACTGCAAGGTCACTTTTTTGAGTGTAAAATTCTGAATTTTTTAACTTTTTAATTATGTTATTTTTTATGACAAAATTTAAATATTTGATTTTTATCGCTCATTTGTTATTTTTATAATTTACTCGCTTAATTTTTTTTAGTGAGCAAAAAATTGATACATTCAATCCTAAGACGTTGCACGTTTTTGGATGGGACACTCGACGCGGTTCATCAACTTATCGACAACTTATCGAATAATGATTATGGGACATGCTGAGCAACTTTGATTAAGGAAATCGATTACGAGACAGTCACGGGAAAAATTTTCGTAATAGTGTGTCACACATAGCGCGACATACACGATTCACGGAATGAAATTTGCTATGAATGCGAGTCATCATCCTTTAAAATAACTTTCTGAACGTTATGACGATGTTGCATATGTTTCATACAATAAAATGCGGCCGTGCATTGTGCAAAGAGATATTTCCCAAGAAACTCTATTGTCATTGCAGAAAGATGTATGAATAAAAAGCAAGTTTTTCTTAAAAAAGGCACGAAGGTCTGCCTCAAGTATGTTGAGCTGGAAAGAGCGTTTAAGTCAATACGATGGGATGCGTATTCATCATTCGTGATATTTAATACGTGAAACTATTTATAGTTAAATGTCGTGTACGCTTAAAAAATCATTTACATGTAAAATCAAGAGATGTACAGCTGCAAATATATATATATATATATATTTTTTTTTTTCACAAAGCATTCTTTTAAGCGACACGCTAACAACGTATTCTTTAGAGGAAGTAGAACGGTAAAAATTTGAAGCGAGAAATAAACAATAAAAATTCTTGCAAAATTTTTTTAAATGGAAATATGTTTCAATAAAACAACAATAATCGATTGAACTAACTTATTGTAAAATATATCGAAAGCTTTCCTTTTATTTCGTTAATTAATATATCATATATCTAAAAATTATGTATAACCACAATATTTTAATTCAAGGCGATTTAATAAAGCATCTTTAACGAGATGACTTTCTTCACGTTAATCTACAGAGATCCTTAAATAAAAGATTGAACATACGTTTGGTCCACCATATTTTGTAAGATATAAGATATTCAGTATTTATTTCAGTGTATCTATCTCATTTTATCTTAAGCAAGTTTTGAAAAATAAATTTAATAAATAAAAAACGAACCAATCAGAAGTTGTCTAAACATTGTCCAATTTCTTACTTAAGGTTCTCCGTAGTCAATCGAGTGCGATTTTGCTAGGCTCGCCTTGGACGAGTACACGCCCACGCGTGCAATCGACAATGATAATAATGATGTCCAATGTTGGAAGCACCGTGTTGTACTGACGAACGTGTCTCGCGTTGGGAAAACGTTCGCTTCGCTGGAGGCATCTCGTCGATCAATTCTGCGAAATTAAAAAAGAAGATGCGTACGACAGTGATGGTTTTAGAATTGATCACACGATGCGACACTGCGCGCTCCAAACGTATTCTAGTTTTTATTTTTTTTTTTTCTTGGAAACGTATCGTTGATTCGTTTCCCTAAGGAATACACCAAAGATGATGAACACATAAAAGTCAATAAAAAATTAAAATGATTTTATTCTGATATTTTTACATCAAACATCAATAAACATCATCAAACATCAAATTTCATAATAAAAAAAATCATCATTTTAACTTTCATAATATCAAGTGAAGTCATTTTGACTTTCTCCCGACTGGGACATTATTCTGTAACTTGTCTTTGCACGCTTACCGATCGTTGCGCAGATATTTTATATGGTGAAAAAGCTGCGCAATAATAACTATCGATAGGCGTGTAAAACAATTACAGAATAGCGTCTCTAGTGTGTTCCCTGGGTTAATGAATTTTAGTATTTTGGATAATGACATCACGTGAAGGAAGAATGAATCCGAGGATGAATCCGGATTTTTGATGTCGTAGAAATGCCAAGCGAGAGATGAGTAGTCCAGCGATCTGCCGCTCGAAGATTCTCCGATCGATTCTTTAGATCGAAAATAGATGGTCAGGGCGAATGACGTCTGATTTCGAAAAAAAGAGATTTATAGAAGAGAATTAATAAGGTTGCCCAGAACTGATCTTACCACGTGTATCCATTGGCCGATATCAGATGTCGACTGCTTCATAATTGATTGCTTCATAATTAACTGCAATAATTACGATTCTGTATTGCTGACCTAATGACCCCCTATATGTTACCAATGTTTTCAACGATTTTTCTTTTCGTTCTTACTGATTATGGTATATCAAGAAGCGAAGAGGATATTCGTAATTTGCAATCTACTGCCGGAAGTTACGTGGGCGGCGGTCGACCGTAAAGCACACAGCGACAACTCCTACCGTTTCGATAGTCGCTTTATCGCGATGCACGATGAATTTATTTTTTTTCCTGCCTTCGTCTTCCTCTCGTTTTATCTAATCCCGACGCGACGGAAAACTGACGTGCTACGGCGCGATAAAATGCTTCCTCTCATTAGTATCGGCGCGTTTCCGCTTCGACGATAGATCTTAGCGGGTCTAGGTCGAAATACCAGACTCGTAACCCGTAATTGGAACATATACAGATCCTGGTGGCTCTGAGAATAATTTTATGTTTCACCATCTTATTTTTCAGAGTGTTGTTCTATTCATGGAAAGAACGATTTTGTTAAAGTATCAAAATTTAGCTAGATATAAATTTGAATCGAAGAATTGTGCTAATTGATAACTAGCGTTGATTTCTATTGCCTGTACTTTATGTTATTATCATATATTATCATATATTATATTTCTTTGTTCAATTAAAGGAATCTATAAAAAAACTTATTAATTTTTTTTTGTTTGTAATTTCTCATAAATTTGAAAATTTTTATTAAACTATCGAAATAATTATGTAAAACGCTCAAGTTGGTTGCCAGAATGTCGAAACTTTTTGTAGTATTTCGTAATACGCTTGAATTTTTTACAAAATTATTCATCAAAATAATTATGTTTGGCCAACAAAGTCTTACTTTCAGATCTGCTTCTATTTATAATAAATTTTTAAATATTTTAGTAAAATGTTTTTTTTTTCATGTTATGACATAAGCAAAAAGAACGATTCTGCTAAAGTATCTAAAAATTTAGCTAAATGCAAATCTGAAAATGATTTTATAAGATTACCAAAATAATTATGCAGGATGCTCGAGCTAGTTGCTTGAATGTCAAAATTTTTGGCAAAATTTCATTGCTCATTATATGTCTCACTTTCCTACATAATTATTTGTTGATTCAAACAAATTGTCAGATTTGTATTTTGTTGAATTTTTTTAATATTAATTTTTTAAATATTCAACAAAATCGTTCTTTCTGTGTATATATATATATATATTTTTTATAATTAAACCTGGCGTTCCATTTTTCGATAGACTTTAGCTTTCTCTCTCTTTCTAACTCTCTTATTCTTACTTATATTCTTACTCTTTTACTATTTTGTTTATCCATTAGATAAATTATCATATAATTTATCTGAAGAAAACAATATTAAATAAAAATCGACCAGTGATAAAACTTCTTCTATATAATAACATTTAATAATATAAAAGCTTTACAAAAAATTCATTTTTAAAAATATGTGTTCCTATTACGGATTAAATTAATTATATATTCTTATGATGTTCTCTCTCTCTCTCTCTCTCTCTCTCTCTCTCTCCCCCTGACGATCGCCCAAGTCGCCAATACATCGATTCCGAGTGCGTCTATCATTATTCTTATACGCGTTTAACGCGCGTGATTAGCAATTTAATGAAGTCTCGTGGATCGTAGCATCAAAGATGTTTTAAAAATAAACCTATAGCCCGCTAGATCGAAATAAATTCCGGAATCTCGAATTTATTTACTTTGTCGCTCCAATAATCAATCGAAGCGAATGCTTGAGACTTGAGATCGTAAAGATATAATAACGACTTCACGATCGAGAATATTATACAAGCTTGTCAGGCTCGCGGGCAGCAATAAGTTATTTACGATATTATTTATAGGTACGTAATACATATGGATGTAATCGCGATAAGGCCAGGCCAATTTCAATTCTGTCGCTTCTGATATCGTGACTTTTGATACCGTCGCGTGTATGCGACGCATTGATTGCGATGGTTTGCGGAATAAACGGCCAACACATTCCCCACATTGTCGGTAATTACATCCATTGACGTCGATGCTTCCTATTTTTCCTTATTTTTCTCAACATTATTCATTCTCGTCTCTCTCGTCTTCATTCGCAATTGACCGAGGCGGCGATAAGCGGATCCATGGATGGATAAACGGATCGTGGCGGAGGGAGTTCGGAGATCCGCGCTTTCGAAACTCGACGTTTGAAAACGCGCGAATTGCGAGCGGCAAATAAGCGCTAACGAGCCGTCAACTTGCTCGAGTAAATGGATAGCTATTGACATAAGTGTGGAAATTTTTCAACGACCGCGTTTGGGTCGACGAACGACGCGTTGACTTCGAAAAGATTGGGATCGCTGCGTGATGCACGCGGTGGATCCGATGACAACGAATATGATCGAAAAATGCGCAGTTTTTCAGCCGCGTGTTATGGATATAGGATTACCATATCTGCAAAGAAAGAATGATTTTGCTAAAGTAGGCCTGTCCAATTTGAGCTCCGGAGCCAAAAGCAAGTTTATTGAGTAATATTTAAATGCCCTATTTGATTGTACAAGTATCAAAACAGGTTTAATTGAGGTTAAAAGAGATTCGAAGTAGAACTAAAATTTCAACTCGGGAGATTTTAGGAACTATAAAGTGTTGATAAGCGTCACTCGGATGCGTGTCAACATTTTACAGTCCCCGAAATTTTATTGAATTTTTTTTGCGTCGATGGCTTTGCGATTTGATTCCAGAGCTCAAATTGAACAGGCTTGTGTTAACGCATCTAGTTAGATACAGATTTGAAAATAATTTTATTAGATCATCAAAATAATAATAGCGTAGAAATCTCAAGTATGAACAATTGTACTGCAAAAAGTTTTCATTCTAGCAATCAATTGGAATATTCTACACAATTATTTTAATAGCCAACAAAATTATTTTCAGATCTGTATCTAAATTTTTAAATACTTCAGCAAAATCGTTCTTTCCGTGTGAATTATAAGAAGATTACATATAAAGAAAGAATATAGTTTTGTTGAAGTATCTAAAAATTTAGCTAGATATAAATCAGAAAGTAATTTGGTTGGATTATCAAAATAATTATGTAGGACGTTTAATATAAAAAATTCCTGCACCATTGTGTGCTCATCATACTTGAGCTTCCTACATAATTTTTCTAATCCCAACAAACTTGTTTTCAAACTTGTTTTCTTTTTCAACTCTTTTTCAAGACACTTGCTCAATTTGCATTCTTTAGAGCGTCTAATTCCACTCTAGAGAATTCAGAGACGTTTTAATTCCAAAAAGAGTACATGTCTTCTTAAAAGAATGTGGCTGGTGACTCTTGGAGGATATGATCTTCGAGGGGGGGGGGGGGGGGGGTGGGGTCGGAGGAAAAAAACACCCCGCCGTTCTCTCGCTTCGTCGTCGGTCCCACGCCGCGCACTTACAACCGTAAAAGCGTGTACGCATAGCGGACAGGCGAGCAAGCAAAGCAAGCAAGTCAGGCAGGCAGGGGGGCAGGCAGGAGGGCAGGCAACATGGTATGCGTTGGCCGCGGAGAGCGAACGCTCGGAGGTCACCATTGACGCAAATCTATCCGAGTGTCACGTGAGCGCGGCCGCTGAAACACAATATACACACGCGATGGACGACAACGGCACGGCCAGCCGCTCCACCATTCCATTAAATCCATGCCTCCTCCATCCGTATATATTATATATTTATGCGACTAGCGATGGGACCGAGCCGGCGTCCGCGCACCGAGATGATGAGTGTACCTTGAGAATTTTGAGTCGAGAACTTTACGCCGTGTCGAAAGTCTCGACTCAATTTTCAATCGAAAATATAGAGAAGAGAAGAATGGGGGAGATTCTGTATATGTGAGGCCGATGATATACTTCTAGGTGATAGTAGGTGATACGTATAGGATAGGGTCGTTCTTGTTCAAACGGTAGAAATTTTCTCTCGGAATAGGATCAGGATTTGTTAGTCTCGGACTCGGTTCGGACGCGATGACGTACCGATAACATCTCGCCTGAGTGTCGTTCCCATCGCTATTTCGACGAGGACAGAAGGAAGGACGGGAGGAAGAAGGCGGGAGTAGATATACTGCACTCCGCGGCCCACCCACGTTACGATATAATAGGCAATTAATGGCCGGTGGACCGGCCGATCCTCGCTGAATGCCAATCGGCCACGGGAAGCGCCACGCTGGACGAAGCGTGTTGTTTAACCCTTTGCGCTCTGCCCGGAACGTGCTCCATATGGCAACGTGAATTGCCGGAGAGGTCTCTCTCTTGGCTATAATTAGAACGCCACACTCGTGCAAAGCACGCTAAGTCGTTTTAATACCGTCGATTCGACCTTTAGACACGTCTTTCGTCTCCGATTCTTCCAATCGCTCGCGCCGTTCGTGTATGTTTCCCCTGTTTACAAACGTTTCCGAATAACCGTGGCATTTTCCTTTTTTTGGTAATGAAAGATCGACATTAAGACATACTCCATATGTATCGTGATAACGTCAGCAAGGACCTTGTGTTTTAGCCTAGTTTCAGTCCTATCAGATAGAACACAAATGCACGCATTTTTGAGCATAAGAGAGAGAGAGAGAGAGAGAGAGGGGGGGGGGGGGGGAGAATATCCTCTACTTCTTATCATTTTCTTAATTAGGTCAATGTCATCGCACAACGATCCGTTGCTTTCTTTAACTAACCTCGTAACGTCATTGTACCTGTCAACCCAAAGGTTGACTAATTGATTCATAAACGAGCGAAATAATTTGTCTTAAGTATATGACGTCTTACAGAATCATATTTGCGTGGAAAAGATTTATTTACGTATCTAAAAATTTACATATAGATCTGAAAATAATTTTGTTTGACCATCAAAATAATTATGTGCATGACATTCGAATTGGTTGTTAAAATGTTAAAACTTTTTGCGTGTTATCATCAACGTTTAAACGTTCTGTATAATTATTTTGATGATTCAACAAAATTATTTTCAGATCTGAATCTAGATATATTTTTAGATATTCATTAGCAAAACTTTCCGTGTGACAAACCTATAAATTGGAAAAAATACTAAATTTTAATAAATATTTATTGAATAGTTCTACTTGTATGTAAATATTTATTAGATAAACATATATTGTTTGTTGAAAAAATGATTAATTTGATTTAACTGTCATTTTTTATTGAGTAGATATTAATTTATTATAAGTAAATATTTATTATTTAACGAAATATGGTAGCGTTAGTTTTGATAAATTATTAAAATTTAGTAAATTTTTTTCAGTGTATATATTAATTTTTTTCGAGTATTACGTTAACGAGTGGATTAAAAGATATAAACAATATTAAATGAAAATTAATCGAGAAACGTTCAACAATAAATAAGTGAAGAAACCATTCGTTCACGGCGGGTTTTAGTGTCTGACATATTTTGGCGTAAATTTTGCAATTTCAAGTAAACAGCGATTATCGATTTTGAAACACTGTCTTAAACTGAAAGACTAAACAAGACTCTTAAACAAGAGTACGTAATATTATATATTAAATCGCTTGTCAATTTAATATTACTCATGCTAATAATGAGCGTCTTTAGAACTGAGAATATCGGCAAAAATATCGATGTGTAGTTTGCTTGAACTGGAAATTAAAATTTCAAAAATATTAGGCACTAAAACCTTTAATCGAACATAGTCCTCTTCGCTTTGTGTTAAAAATTTATAAATATTTTGTGCAATAGTATTCTAAGACGTAAGATTAGATTAATTTTAAATTAATTAGAATATGAATATTCTTTTATCATTGTAAGAAAGATACGTACCTCTAAGTGAAAAATATAAGTATATTTATATACATATTATTTTGTCTTTCTACATTTTTATACTTTTAGTCTAACTGTCACTTATCTTTCAAGCTCATTTGCGCTACTATTGTCGTCGATAATGCCAGCTCACTAACCGTCTACTAGAGACAGCGGCTTTTTAAAAAACCATCACTCTCATCCTCGTTTATCCGCAATTTACTCATCGCAATGGAACTTTATTAAAGTTCCAGCGCGTCTATAGCTCTCCAGAAGAATTCTCAAGGCGAAAAACAAGCGGACAGCACGATGTAACAATGCCTTCGACGTTAATGGCGGATGGCACAATGGTGTTGCAATAGGAGGATTATGCAACGATCAACGTTACACACACGACCGTGCTACGGTATTCAAACTCGGCCGAAAGCAAAACATTATTCAACATAAATGACAAAAAGGTCAAAAAGATTACAAGCGTAACAGGAGAGGTAATTTCCCACACGGAGAAAAATAGATAGCCTTACAAGTCTAATAAAAATATTCTGACTATTTTTGTCTTACAAATCTAATGGAAATATTCTGACTAGTTTTGCTTTACAAGTCTAATGGAAATATTCTGGCTATTACGAAAAAAATACACTCTTGGAGATTCGAAATAACACCTAATTGAGTGTTAACTCCCAAATAAACCTCCAACTTGAGGTTAACGCTTAATTTGAGTGTCATTTCGAACCGTCGAAGAGTGTATTTTTTTGTAAGGATTTTCCCGGAAGTTATGATAAACTTTACTTGCTTAAAAGTAAAAAAAATACTGGAAGCGTAAGATAAAAAGTACATTACAATTATAGTACAGTCCGTTCAAGTGAATATACTTTCCAGTAAAGTGAATCGTACTATTCTCGAGACTGTAAGCACAAATAATTCTCAAGAATATCTCTTTGTACATTTGCATTTTTTACCGCACTACAATAAAATAAAGAATTATCAGCGCTAAAGCAAAAATAAATTCTATGAAATGTGTGATAATTTATAGATGATTAAGAATTAACAAATTACACAATAAAATCTTAAATATTTCTTTGAAAAGTACTAAGAAAACATTCACTTACTTAATAAAAACAAAAGATGAGAAAGTTAAATAAAATTAATTTCTTTTTATATCAGATAAATCTATGTTTAGTAAATATTGACATAGAATTATTCAAACAAATATTTATTAAAATTTAGTACTTTTTTTCAATGTAGCACATATTCGGCGCAAAATGCATGAGCCGGTAAGAAATATCGGTTAAAAATGATTATTTATTTTTCTTTTCCGAAGAAATGCAAGTTTTTTACAACTTTAATTACATCGATGGGCATTACGAGTCGCAGATCATCTCGTCGAAACGCCTCGATAAACGTGTCGCACCGCACGGGTGTTACTTGCGTGCGTTTTGCGCTCATCGCAGAAATTAAGTCGTATTATCTTCAATCGTCGTACGCCTGCAAATGAAATCCGAGGAGAACGCGCGTGGCGAAGGGAGGTCTATTATCTTATTTATTCGTGTGCTTACGTACGATTACGATACGCAAATATTCAACGGCGATCCTCCGTGATGATGTACTCGATGCGCGCGATTTTCTTTTGCCGCCGGAAGAAAGTAACGGCGAGACTTCGTGATTTGTCGTAGTAAAGCATCACACCGGAAAACGTATATACTTTCATTATGATAAATTGCTATAATTGATATAATCGTATCTTGTTACGACCAGGAAATATTATTAGACATAATTAACAAAAAATTATATAATTTCATGTAGAGGTAATATCTACAACGCAAAATGTAATAGTAATATACAGATATACAGCGTGTTATTTTAAATCAATTATGATATGATAATATCCTCGATTGATCGTATTTGTAGTCCGTGCATATACGATGAAATTTATATGATAAGGTTTTTAGCACTGTTATTTTCAAAGAACTTAATCGAGATATCGAGCAACTTAACGAGAAGAGGATAATCGAATAATCGAAGTATCGATGATTCAAACTCGAATCGAATTCAAGAGAAATCCGAATCGAACGAGCGCTCGAAAAGTTTGAATATTTGCGCATCCTCATCCATTCGTTTTGCACTTTTAATAATAAAAAAAATATAATAAATAATAATAAGGCTCCACACACAAGTATAAAACAATTTAGAATAAATGAAGAACTAAAAGCCGGTTATGTAACAAAAAATTATTTAATTTAATAAATGAAAATGAAAATAGTTACATACATTTAAAAAAATATATTTATTATGATAAAAAAGAGAAGAAAGAAAGAGAAAATAATAATGCCTTAGCATAATCCTCTTTCAAACATTAGTAAAAACAAAATTATGAGACAAAACAAATATATAAATGATTTTATATACATTTACGAACAATTGCAAAATGAAACTATCATTAGGCTATATCCACACAAACTTGCATAAACGTATGCATAAAGAAAATTATCCAATCGCATTTCTCCTATAAAGACGCACGTAAAATATGATTGGATAATTTTCTTTATGCATACGTTTATGTGGCTATGCAAGTTTATGTAGATGTATCCTTAAAATCTATTCTGCAATTGATCAATCACAGTCGAATATGAGAAAAATATTGGACTGTTTGTGATTAGTCAATTCTTACAATTGCAATCATTTATAATTATACGCTTACGTAATGTTGAATGGGCCTCATAGGTGCGTGTCATTTTATGCACGATGTGCATAATGCGTCATTTTATTCTTGTTCAACGGTGAAAAGATTTTCGACCAAGACATCTAGACAATAAGTGAAATGTTTAATAAAAAAAAGTCACAAACTTTTACCGATGCACATACAGCTGATCATCTGCACTTTTTATTCAAGCGAGAGAAATACATGCTCAGTCTCACGTTCAAGATTATGTTCAAATTCCCAGCCGAGTGTCCTGCAGGTATCATTTTATTCTTATTGTTCACCGAATGAACATGATAACATGATACCTAGGGAGCACTCGGATGGGAATTTGAAGTATTTTGAAGGCGTTCCAACCGTTCCAGGGTGAGTAAAGAAAAAGAGTGCAACTATGGTGCAACTATGCACCGAACGTTCGAGAAGCTGTTGCAGCCCGCGGCCCGCGTTACAATTCGATATATCGCGAATCGCGCGACCCCCGCGACCGCTCATTTCCTACTCGTACGTTCGATTTCGTTCGACACGAGGGATGTTGCACGGCGCCGTTTCGGGCTCGTAGGAACCGTGATATTCGAAGAGAAGTCGAAACGGAACGTTCGCGGAGTATCCAGAGACAAGGAGGTGAAGTCTCATTAATCGGCGTGCCTGATTCTCGCCGCATCGGTCACAATTGTCGGTCCTCAGCACCATGGCGATGAACGTGCCGTACGAGGCGATCGGCAAGGGCTTCGTCCAGCAGTATTACGCGATGTTCGACGACGCGGCGCAAAGGCCGAACCTCATAAACATGTACAATGTAAGGCACGAACGATCCCGTCCGTTCCCTGGGGCCGCCGCGAGTCCCATCGGTCCACTCCCTCGCGATTACCCTACCCGGTATCACGACTGATTGACATAACCTTTTCCAGGCGGAGACATCCTTTATGACGTTCGAGGGCTTGCAGATACAGGGCGCTATCAAAATCATGGAGAAATTAACTGTGAGTAAAGTTTCCTTCCACCGTGCTGAAATTGATTTACAATTATAGTACTTATCTTGGTGTCTATTCACACATCCAATCCATCTTGCAAAAAGTATTTTCCTTCCTTTGGATTCATCAGATGGTTCTTTTGCAACTAATTTATTCTTCTTATTAATGGATCATTGCTAATGAAGGAAACATCAAGAATCCAAGAGATTTATTTATTCAGTTTAAATGTTTTCTTCATAGAGAACGATAATCTTCATAGCTTTTTTACAGGCTTGATATTAGTATACTTTTACAACTTTCATACTTTGTGAGTTTAATATTTGGCTAATTCCTTTTATAAACATTATTCTGATTTAAAAATGCCATCAAGTTTGAGAATTTTGAATCAAAGTAGGAAATGAACAGAATCGAACTAAACAGAAATGAAATTTAAATATAAATACAAAATATATATAATAATTGTATGCAAACACTTAAGAGTTTGTATTTAATCTTTCTATTTTCATTTAAAAATTTTTCTGTTATTAATCGTTATAAATTTAATTAAGAAATGTGTATATTAATAATATATTATGATTATATTAATTTTTTTTTCTTTTTCAGAGCTTATCCTTTCAAAAAATAAATCGGATAATAACAGCGATTGATTCGCAACCAATGTTCGATGGTGGAGTTCTTATTAATGTATTAGGAAGGTTGCAGGTAAGAAAAGTATAACTAATAATAACAAATATTTCATAAAAAGCGTCCAGTATGACAAAATATAATTAATTATATTACAATATAAATAATATCAATTCTTTTTGCTTGTATAACTTACAATAAATTAATAAATAGTAAAACCCAGGTCAAAACATTAAATAAGCTGTAGCTTACATGTACTAAATAATATTTATTAATCACAAATTATAATTTTCCGATAACTTTCAACGATACTTCAACGTTTCGATTACACTTAGTTCTCATCAGCCGCAGAAATACATAAGTACCCAAATATAATTATATTAACATATTATGAGGAATGTTTCACATTCGAGTTACAATAGATAATGTATGGTTGCGATATACCATTCTTTGTAACGCGAAGGTGAGATGATTCTTAAAAATCTGATATATTATCTATTGTAATTCGAATGTTCTTCATAATATGTTAATATAATTATATATTTGGGTATTTATGTATTTCTGATGAAGACTAAGTATAGTCGAAACCTATCATTGAAACTTATCGTCGGAAAATTATAATTTGTGATTAATAAATATTATTATACCTAACTATAGTTCGTTTAATGTATTGACCTGGGTTTTACTATTTAATAATTAGTTATGTAATGGAGACAACTTTAAGTTATATTATGTGATAAGAAGTATTATAATTTTATACATTTTAAAGTATATGTGAGATTTATGTTTTATAAGCCAATCGGTTCAGTAATTTAATTTTTAATTTTTAATAGTTTCGCAAACTTGGTTTTTATATACGTATTTGTACAAAAAGAGGAATTACTGGATGTGATGTATTTATTAGAAATAAAATAAGTTTTAACATATATGGGAAATACAACTATAGGTAGAAATTACAGACGGGAAACAAGTTCTATAATAAGAGGTTTTTATCAATTACCGAAAAATATTTAGTGATTACTGATGATCGTATAGACTGACGAGGATCAACCTCATGCGTACATCCAGACATTTGTCCTGAAGCCAATCGGTACCAGCTTTTATGTGCAGCACGATATCTTCAGACTTGCGTTGCACGACACAGTTTAGGCATCAGGTATCGCAAAGTCTCCTTGTTTGATGTTTCATATATTCGCTGCTTTTATTCTATCTTGATCTAGCACAAAATTTCTAGAGCAATAGAACTCAATATAACATCTGAATCCCTTTATAAGCTATACTAAAAATCTATGTTACATTTAAAACCAACTATGATAACATGACATTTAATTTTGTTAATATTTTTTAATAATTGTTTTATTTGTTGCAATTTAGCATTTTTTGCAGTATCTTTTACTTATTTTTATTTTCTTTTTGCCAATTTTATTGATCTATTTTACTTAAAAAGCGTGTAATCTAAAATAATTATAAAATATATAAACATGCATGAACAGGGTTGTGATGAAATGTACAGGGTTGGCCATATTCGACGGAAAGATGTTTTTTTTTCAATCATGGGAAACGTCGTTACTCGATCTAACATCTCTTTCCCATGATTGAAAAAAAAAACATCTTTCCGTCGAATATGGCCAACCCTGTATATCTAATTCGGAGGTCTCAGATGTCAAATTACAAGCGACAAGTTATCAGCTCTCTGTGAAAGTGGTACAAATGTATGAATCTGGGATCACTAATTGAATTTTACGTATTACGAATAGGTAGCTCAATACACTATTAAATTGCTGAACAAATTGGAATAATAATTAAACTATTTTGTAAATTAACATTTTAAAAATCATATTATTTTTGTATTTTTAACATTGAAAATTGAATCACAATGTTTTAAAGTAATTAATGTTAACATTGGCATTGCTTTATCATGTATTTAATAAATATCTCTTAATATATTGTTATATGTATATAAGATATAGATTGCATTTAATTACAGGCAGATGAGGATCCACCACACGCCTTCTCGCAATGTTTTGTGCTGAAACCAATGGGTAATTCATACTATTGTCAGCATGATATCTTTCGCCTTAGTATTCATGATAGCGCATGAACGAGGAAGATCAAGTAAATGCGATGAGCGTGTAAACAGACAAGTTGTCGAGTGACGGACATCCTGGAGATCGCGATTAATAAGTGAGCTACCTAATCTCATCGATAATCTTCTCGTCACAATCACATCCTACCTATCCCTATTCTTTCTATAGATATTACAAGTTTTATATGAAGAATATCTCCGCTTATATCTTGGCCACGAAAAAAAAAGAGAACGAATCGAAACATCCGATATTACACAGTTTAAATCATTTCGTCGGTTTTTTCCGTATACAACATACACACACACACACACACACACACACACACACACACACACACACACACACATACATACATACACACATATTTATATATTTATATATATATATGTGTGTATGTTGTCGGAAAAAAACAAATTTTTTAGCTATACATACTAGCACAACATATACACATAGATGTCTCATTAATCGAAGGAGTTTGATTTTTGATGGCATATTATGTCTTTGCATTACTACGCTTTGAAATGTATTGTAACATATTTTACATTTTAAAATGCTGTGTATTTTTGTAATACGAAAATGTTGGCCATTAAATACAAGAATACGGAATTAATCAGACAAGTTGATTATCTATTCCATAGACGAAAACGTAAAATCTTGACTGATTTTCGTCAAACATGATAAAGCGTACAGCTCTATTACAATGTGAACGAATTATCATTATAATAGTGGTATGTAACAGAGTGTTAGATGGTGCTGAATAAATCTCGATGCGAATTTTATATGCATAATACACTTTTAATGTGATATTTCATTATATAATTAAAATAATATAATTAAGTACAAAGGTACTTCACTCTTGTCCTTCACTCTTTCATAGGATTACTTTATGTTGGCTGATAGTTCTAATTTTACAAATACATCAATAATATTTAACTTTCTACAGATTGCCACGTTTTGCTTGCTCTAATTCAATCGCTTCGAACAACGCTTGGAAATTGCCAGCGCCGAAACCCTAAACAAGAAGTGACAAATTTGTGATTATTTAAATATTAATTAATTTTTTGAATTTTTTGTAAATTTATAGATATGATGCTACAAACTTTTCTTTTAATACTTACATTATGGTTGCGCCTCTGTATGACTTCTATAAACAATGTTGGCCGATCTTGCATATTTTTCGTGAATATTTGTAGAAGATATCCATTCTCGTCATAGTCTATTAGTATCTTTAATTTCTGCAAAGCGATAACACAATCGAATTAATATTAAACGCATTGAAACTTGTACTGGAATTAATTTTAATTCACATTATTAATAAAAGTACCTGTAGCATATCCAAGTCCTCCACGATTTTCGTGCCACTGGCTTTTAGGCGGTTTCTGAGCATGTCGTAATAACTATCGGGTACGTGAAGAAACTCCATACCTCTGGCACGCAGATTTGTTATCTGTAAAATGATGCGTAAGAATGGATGTGTGGAGAAACTTATTGCGAGCGTGCGACATTTTTTATACAATATCTTAATTTATATATTGAATTAAAAATATTAAACTCTATGTTAATTAGTAAAGATCACAGAATAAAAATGTTAAGAGAACTGTGACCAAAAAGTTGGTTTTTAAAGTTACTTTTGCATTGCATAGTTGTATTTTGCAGGATATGTATGTTGTGCAATTTTATGCGCAATGTACATATTCTGTGCAGAACTTAATTATTTACCGCTGTAATAATGTCATTAGTATTAAGGGCAATATGCTGTACACCGGCACCGCCATAATACTCGACATATTCCTGAATCTGGGAACGTTTCTTCCCCGATGCGGGTTCGTTGATCGGCATCTTCACCGTCTCCTCCCAATTCGACATCACGATGGACCGTAGCGCGGAATATTCCGTATGCAACTGCGAGTCGTCTACTGACCAGAATCTATGAAACTGTAAGCAGTCTTCGTACCTGAGAGAAACAGGAAAAGAGAAATCTACATTTAATCTAGTATTTTATTTTTCAGCTTAAGAATATTTTACTAATAACAGGAATTTGGAAATTTCTAATTTAGAAGTCTCGTGAAATTCAATAAGTCAGCAAACTTTATGAGTTCAGTGAACTTTATTTTAAATATGTATTTTATTCTACTACATTAACGTGTATCTTACTAATGAAAATTATAACAAACGCTATTAACTGATCTAAAATGAAAATAAGAGGCACAACCTCCATGTGGCCTTGATTTTAACAAATGTTATCTAGGTCACGATTTGAATCTTAAACAACATTCAAGAGGTTTTAGCCATCGATCGGACACCTTAGATAATATTAATATTAATAATATTAATCGGCGCGGCAGTACTATAACTTTCAAGTTTTATAACTCAAAAAGTACTTAATGAAAAAACATGTTATTATAGTATTTTGAAGAGCTATCGAAATAAGCTACAAGAATATGTGATGAAAAATAGGGGATCCATTAAAAAAATTTAAAATAACCTTGACCTGATTTTGATGGCATCACTCAAGGTCAAATCAATTCTCTTATATTCCCCTTCGAACTTTACAACTTTTGTCTGAAATATTTTTCTCTAAATTCTTTTCTCTAAGCTTTTCTGTATACATGTCTCATTAGTAAAACATGTTTTGTCATTAGTAAAACATTCAGAAGTAGTAATTTACATACCATTTCGCAACGGATTCCATTTGTTTGTCGGGCTGATTACCCACTACATGGTCTACAAAATTCAAATGTACTTGCGGCCTACAATAAAAGAAGAGCATATCGATAATATAAAGTATATCGATAATTTAAAGTTAACTATCAAGTATTTCTCATGTCTTTTTTGTAATCATCAGATTAATTCTAGATATATCTTGGAATTTTAATAAGAGAAAATGCTTTATATTTTTCTATATAAAACATTCTTTTCGTCAAAGATAAATAGTGTTGTAAGATATTATTAAAATATATATATTGTATATGTTCTAGTTTTCTTTTTAAAGTGGAGCGGTTTTAACTAAGGCTATTGAGAAATCGCGCTTTTGCATACATACAATTGATCGAGAAGAGCATCCTTTGATACCCTCACGAAACCCGGCAAGAAGAAGCCTTTGTACCTCGTTCTATCAACAAATGTATGGAGCGTATCACCATACTGATAAAAATGACGTTGAATTAATTGAAACATCTAGAAGGCAATGATATCGCAGATATAAGGAAGTATCATCTTTTTTATATTTACAGTTTTCACAGTGGCCATCCTCACGATGCCATATTCGTCGCTTTCCTCCCATATGTCGCGCACTATTTCGGCGCCCTTTCGCTTAGCAACCTTTACATACATCATCTCAAATATTAATGAAGATAACTTGAAAGTTACTTTGCTATTAGTTTCCAATAGAATAAAAGTTACTGCTTTTAATTATTTCTATTTCAGAAAGAATATTTCATCTTGTAACATGGAAATTCTATATTCACAAAGAATTTATATTTTTAGACGAAGAAAAAGCATCTCCTTTATTTCTTTACCTTCACAATGGTATCGATATCTTCAACATTGAACGCTACATCTCGCACGCCGTCTCCATGTCGGGAAAGATGATCTGACATTTCTTCATTATCAGGTTCGTACGGAGATTCGAACATGAACATTATCTACAAATATGATTAGGAAGTTCTGTATCTCGAAAGATAATATTCAAGATTTCGAAAAGAACACTACTTTCGATCATCAAATAAGCAATTAATTAAAATAAAGATATTTTTTTAATTTACTGCTTATGGATTCGCGCATGAGAATGTTCAAAATTACTCACTTTGTTCTGTTTGACAACGTGTGCCGCTGCTCGTCTATAGCCAGTTTCTAAACCACGATATCCAAATGGTTCAAATCCCATCCTACATCGATAGAAACTGGCGGCCTAAAAGCGCAATTGTATTTTATTTTCACATATAATTTATATATCTTTTTTTATGTGATTACATATAATATATATGATCTCCATATATTTAAATTATGTTAGTTGAAGAAGGACCGGTGATCTCAAAATGCCCGTTTTAATTATACTTTTGTTTATACTCAATTATTATTTTTATATTTTGCTTTATAAAGCATTTCTTGATACATGGGAAACATAAGAACGGATTTAGGACAAAAACTAACAAAGTTTATTTGTACATAGCTCGATAAAACTGATAAAACTCAAGGAAAAGATAAAGAATAGAATCATATTGCATACCATGTATTTATGATTCCTGTTTGTTTTTAGACTTATTTCTACGATATTTCCTATATATTAAGAAACATTCTGAGAATTTACCTGCTTAGCATTTCCAACCCAGAATTTTATATAATCAAAACTGAGGAATTTTCCTCCAATAGGCTGAAATACAGATATTGCGTCAAATTTCTCTAGTATAATAGTAATTCTCTTTAAATAATTACTATATGTAAATTCTAAATAGTAGTGTTGATTCCAAAAAAAATAACTTGTCTTTCCAATTTTTGGCAAGACTGTTTACCTGAGATCCTTTATCGTTGTAACTCGTCTGGAAACAAACGCAAAGAATTTAAAAAATAAAGAATTATGGACTCTCAAGTTTTAATAAACAAAAACAATAAAATGATTGGGCTGATGAGAGTCAAAACGCAGTTATCTGTGCGTAACTATAAATTTATGTTCCAAATTAAAATATATAAACGAACGTCGTTACTTATAGAAGTATAAAATTACTCGGTCTACCAATCTTTTTGTGAAGGAATTTCATTATGTCGTGAAGAAACATTTAATATTGTATATATCAACGCTGAAGATGGCTCAAACCGGAAGTTCGTTTATATATTTTAATTTGGTGATAAATTTAACAGTAAATAAATTTAAGTTACATAAATTTAAAATCACACACAGATAAGATAAGATATAATACACAGATAAGATATAAGACACAGATAAGATGCGTTTTGACGCTCATTAGCCTAATCATTTTATTGTTTTTTTTTAGCAATGAATTTATTTAAACAAATCAATGAAAACAAATATTTGTTAAACGATTCATATTCTACGATGCATATCATATAAAAAAACCTCAGCAAATTTTATGTTTGCGAATTATGTTGATCAATTGTATATTAAATAAGCAATTATGCAATTAATAATCTAGTTGAATTATAAAAATAATTCTATTACCAGGTAATAGATCTTCAACTTACCATGATGACTTTCAAAATCGAAGGAAACGATAAAAAGTATCTTCTAGAACGATGCCGAACGTTCGATTATTACGGTCTGTATCGAGTTCCGCTTTAAATATCGAGCCCACGAACTTGCTATTGGTCTACGGCGGGGGATTGCTACGTTCTTCGTGATCAACAGCCTGATAAATCACCAGCAACAGCAGGTTTTTTAAAATTAAACATGTCATTAAAGCTGAGATAGACTCAACGGCGTATTCGAGATGGGCTTGCCTTTCTAATTAACACAAGGTAATACAAGGTAATTTTTCTGATCCTAGATAAAAGTATATATAATAATAAAATAAAATTTCTAAAAGATTCCAGAAATACGTCATAAAAGTATCTGTTTAAGGAAATTTCCATTTTACGAAATTGTAAGTAAACATTTTTAGATAATTCAATTGTTTCGAAAGTATTTATGTCAGCCTTCTATTATTTACAGTTTTTTAAATTACAGAAAAGAAGTGCATAGAAATTTGAGAAATTTGTACAAACGCTATTTTATGATATTAAAATCGAATAAATAGAACCAATTAAAAAAAATTTCTTGCATTTATATAAAAACCGTGATACACATATAAAGTGCATTCCATGCATGCTATAATAAAAATCTCTTCTTCAATATCTTTCTTAAGGTAGAATCACACGGTGCTCTTGAATGATAGCATGCACACAATCATGCTCTGATGTATGCTAGAATTTGTTCATGCATTGAGTGCTACATATTGCATATACATGATTTTTATATTTATTATGGATTACTTTATAGTTTATTTCCTTGCACCAATCAAAAGAAATAATTACTAATTTCATAGTTATTCGTCAGACTATGCATCAAACCAAGCATGCATGTGTGATTCAAGAAATCATGTGATTCCATTTTTATTCGCTTCGATGAATCATACAACTGCGAATTTCATTTATTACCTTTGGCATATTAAAATAATTCTTTGCATAAATACCTCACTTTCCATAGTAAACATATTTACGTTGCCCTGCGTTAGAATGCAGTTTTTCTGTGCACACACCCTCTAATGCATTTATGCATTTATATCACGTGATGTTAGATTGGATTTTTTGCTGTTTATGTTAAACGATGATGCAGTAGTTACAAATAGCTTGCCTACATCGTGATTATTAATATTAAATTTCATTCATTCATCAGAAGTTATAACATTTAATCGATTGTCACTTTAAGAATAAATATTATATATAATTATTTAAATAAATAAATATATATATATAAATATATATATTAAATAAATAAATATATATATATATATAAAACATTAACTAATAACATTGTTATATAAAAATTCCGGCATATTTTATGAACAAGAAAATAAATTCAAGAACGTAAAGAGAATGATAAATCGCTTTATTAGACTTCATCTCAAACAAGAACTATTAGATACAGAGAAAAAGTCATCAGAGAATGCATGGAATGATATACATATATAACATGATTCAACTCTGTTCGCCAAAAAATTTCGATGCAATTATTAGCATAACATTTAAATTAATTACAATATAACATTTGGAAACATTGCATATCGTTGTTACGAAAAACTTGTTTCACGGAAGATTTCTATGCGAGGTCATCGACATTTTTATTTAAATATTATGAAACAAAAATGGATTTAATACCGAGACGGCGATGGCATTGCAAAAAGTGGCGCGTAAAACATCGCATAAAATATCTTTACATTAAAATTGACAATGTCGAGTAGATATTTTTTTATTTCTTGCATTATTATTATATTTTCTTCGCGGAATACTGATTTCCGTTTTCGTTTTTGGGGAATATATACTTGGAGAATATAATTTAACTATCTTCTAATAAAACTGAATATCTAATTCGCGCTGATTCGATTAAAATGCAAATAAGTTACTAATGGTTTGTTATGCACATATATGTATATGTACAATAAATCGGCTATATACAGGATGTCCGAGAATCAATGAAGATACAGTGTCTTACTTCACAAAATCTGAAATAAATCATTTTTTAAATAAATATTCTTCTACATCTTAAGAGTAATTTTGAAACAATAGAAAAGGCAAATATTTATAGATACGTATAGATTATAGATAATTATATAGATACGTGAATAATAAATATCAAATAAAAATCTTGCCAAGATAAAATCGTTTCAAAAATTAAATTACGAACAATATATTGTATTATCTATTTTCATTTTTGAAGTCTGATTCCCGAAAGACTTCTCGTTTCTAATGACTTATAAATCAGAATCTACTGAGATATGCTTTACTGAGATATACTAGTGGGTTAAAATTTTTTTAATTTGTCTTTAAGTTTTAAAAACATATATAGGATGCGTTTGGGGAGCGCGCTATGTGCGTCATTTTCTCCTTATTTAATAAACAATAAAGATAAATAAAATGGCATAACAGTGCGCTCTCCATATAATGCTAGAATCTACTTTCCGTCGATTCTAAGACATCTTATATACAATAACATATATAACATAAATAACATTTATTGTGATATCGGTTTGCATGATTGATGAAACGGTAAAGTACAAACTGATTGGTCGATCCGCTACCGTAGAAAATTTCTCGACCGATAGAAATTACGTAGGTACATTGCAGCGGTATATAAAAGCTCTTCGATCTTCCACCGATTTTTCCGGAATTACGCTCGGAAATTACATTCGAAAATCACAGATTACAAAAATATACGTAGAAAAACATTCCCGTATATCTCCCGTTAAAATTATCTCGTCAAAGTAATGTTCGATTCTTCTCTCTTGTACTGGATATGATAATTTCTCTTGCCAAGTGCAAATAAGCGAAATCGTGAATGTATGCATTATCCTCCTCTTTTTTTTTGTAAAAAAGAAAAAGAAGTAACGCGCAATCCTGAATTTACAGTAGCACGATCCCGTGATCTCTTTCCAATCGACGTTTCGCCTTGAGAGCCACGATCCCCATTAGATCCGCCGGGGTGGGAAGCGCTGCAAAAGTACTCGGTGCTACTGCTTGCTGGTAGAAAACTTCTACTCCTCCGCTCTGGTTACCGTAAACTACTGTGTCTTCTGTTCTACTCAATAAAAATATTCCTTGATGCTTTTAAACAAACTCGACTTTTTCGTCATAAATAATACACATCCGTTCGCCATTCACGTAATGTTATAAGAATTTCGTATATTTTTTGTAAATTATTGCAACTTGCAACTTAGCAAAATAAATTTTTTAAAGCGTGAAATAAAACAAGTAATAATCGTAATAATTTTAATACAATCTTGATTCTCTATTAGAAGATATTTGTCTTACAAGGACAAAAACTGGCGAATGAAAAATACGAGGGGGAATTTCAAGTAATATAAATTAAATATAACATAAAGAAACAATGAATTTGTTCAATTTTTAAAGATATAGGAGATCTTTGTAATTACCTGACGATAATGTCAGTCAAACTGCTAGCTTGCGTAAATCTGTCGTGAAGGCAAGACACGATGTCCAATTCGGTAACTCCCCAAAGTCCAGAGCGTTGCACCGTGTCCCACTGTGGATCCACACTCAAAATACTATACAATTCCTTGTTCTCTGTAGATGGCAGCGGCTCCAGACACTGTTGCAACCGTGTTTCGAGTTTACCCAACGTGCTTACGCAAGTATGCCACTATAAAAAACAAATTATTTATATTATTTCTACAATTACATCTTTAGAAGAATAACACACAAAAAATATTTTGGACAATTTTATTCCTTTATCTTTTATTTTATTAATTTTTCTCTTAAAAATATTTTATTATATTATTGTTTATAAGAAATAATCCTTCGTTTTATCGCAATGTTTTTAACTCTTAAATCTAATGAATTTCATGAAATTTGTGTATTTACCAGAGCATGTATCAAATCCGGATTGTTCGCAGTACCGTTCTCCATCAGTAATACCAACACCATATTTTGATATCCGCAGAGAAAAAGCTCGGTTTTGACGAGGCAAGCGGCGGGCTCATCCTTGTTGACCCAGTCTTCATCTAGCTCATCCTCACCGTCGCTCGCTTCCTTTTCGACGGACTCCAGCTTCTGCTTAATCAGCTGATTCGTCGTCGTTGTAGTAGTGACTGCTACTCCACCGGAAAACCCGGACAGATCGCGGAATTCACTTGGCGTGGTTTCACGACTGCAAAAACCGCTAGTTCGCTCGTCGGCCAGTAGACTCAGCTTTGACATCAGTGGCGTCAACTGTAAACCGTCCAGCTTCCGTCTTTGCGGAAACTCAAACGAGCTTCCTACACCACCACACTCCGACGTCGATTTCCGTCGATCATCGCCGTTGGACACCTCAGCTACGACGTTGAGTGGCTTCAGCGGTAAACTCATTGATCTCTTGTATGTCTCTTGCTTGCTCTTGTCGTATCCAGACTTGGCGCATTCTAAAGATTTATGTTTAAAACAAATGTTTGAAGCATATTTCGAATATTCAACAACGCTACTATTGCTATTGCTTTTTGAGAGATGCATTTTTCTTTTTATATTAAAAAATATTTTTTACTGGATATTTAGTTTACAAGTTTAAATAACATACCTTCACGAGCATCCCTCGTAATTGAATTCCGGCTGCTATTTATCGGCAATTTCGCGTTCGTCAGATCGCTCGGTAAATTCCTTGATTGCAGATTGGCATCGTCGCCACGGCATTCATGAATGCCATCGCCATTATCATATAACTCCTCGCAATGGGAAGCGATGTATTGCTCGTACAATGATTGTGAGACTGATAGACCATCGTATCGGAAGACAGGATAACAGGGATCGACGATAGTGCGCGAATGCCGCATATTACTTCTGGACTTCCGCCGGAGTGAATTTGAATCGTGGTCATCCGGTGAGGCTTCATTTAATTTGCATAGTCTATTATAATAATATAATGTAGTAGTAAAATAATATAAAACATTCATTTTAAATATTAGGTTCAGCCGTATTATTTTGTTTTACTTAATAATCATATTCGGTAAGCAGATAATTACAATATTAAATCTCAATTACATTTTGTCTAATTCCGGTTGATGAGTCCTAGGAATATCGTTCAAACGTGGTTTAATTGATGACGTCAAGTCTGGCAAACTCACACTCTTCCTGTCGGAATCCTTTTTCTTCATTAGCTTCTTCTTCGAAGTAGCGTTTCTCAGCTTGTTCAAGCGTTTGCATCTGTTATATATATGATATACAAAATATGAAAATTCGATTACTTTTAGCTAGAAAAGCTAAAAGCTGAAATAGCTAGAAAATTGATCATCATCATCAATCTTATTTCCACATTTGCCATGAAAGCCATGTCTTCGAAATGCCTAATCTTGCATATTCTACAAAATTTCTAAAAATTAATTTGAGAATAAACACGTACCTGAGTGCCTCTTTAACGACATCGGGAATGTCGTCATCGTCTCTTTTCGATGAATTTCTAAGGTCCTCGTTTTCACCACCACTCTCGGACGAG